ATCTCCGATGATATAAACTCCGACCCAACTTATTTACTTCCAATCACGAGTCTAAAGTCAGCTAACGGTATTCTTCGCCTATCAGAGCTACGATCCCGAAATCCACTCGCCGAACGAGATGGTGGTAGACACCCAGGACGAGATGGTCGTCCAACCGACCCTAAACGAGAAAGATCAGGTCACAGAGATCAATCCAGAACAACTGGACAACGATGCTGAGAATCTCGAGAGCGCTCTCTTGGCCACCGATTGTGCGTATAAGCCCTAGATAGCATTAATTAGATACATTTACCTCAGAAAGGATTCCCACTAACAAATGCTCCCATTCTAGTTGAGGCTATGAAAGAGATAGTGCTGTCACCTCTCCTAGACGAACCTAAGATTGTAGAAGATGTCGTCAATACATGGACTGTACAAAATTGGAGGACACTCTCTAAGAAGGAGCACGGCCCCGTATTTGAAGCCGGCGGGCACCCATGGCAAGCACCTATCAGATACCCTTACTCGAAGAGCTAGCTTGCTGACTTGGCTGAGCAGGCGAATTCTCCTCTTTCCGTTTGGAAATGGCGTAGACCAGTCCTCGGTATATCTTGAACATGGCTTCCCAGATGCCAGTAGTATACCTGAGGACTGGAGCTGTTGTGTACAGTTCGGGTTGGTCATGTGGAATATCAATGACCCATCTCTCTTCTGCCATCATACAGCCCATCACCGCTTTACAAAGGAGGAGAGTGATTGGGGTTTCACGCGGTTCCTCGAGTTAAGGAAAATGTTCCAGCAACCATGGGATAATTCTGGCCACCCGCTCGTCGAGAACGACTCCGTCAATATCACCGCCTACGTCAGAGTGGTCGAAGATGAGACTGGCGTGTTATGGCACAACTTCAATAACTACGATTCTAAGAAGGAAACCGGTTATGTTGGTCTGAAGAACCAGGGTGCTACATGCTACCTTAATTCGCTATTACAGTCGTTATTCTTCACAAATGCTTTTCGAAAGGTTAGATGAAAGCTTCTAAAGAGGAATCTATCTAGTAGGAAAGAAGGTGCACTAACATGTTTCAGGCCGTTTACGAAATCCCGACGGTGGAAGACGCGAGCATAACTAATAGCGCTTACGCCCTCCAGAGACTATTTTATCAGCTCCAAATTTCAAATCAGGCCGTGAGTACCAACGAGCTAACGAAGTCATTTGGTTGGGACACACGACATATCTTTGAGCAACAAGATGTGCAGGAACTATCCCGCAAGCTGATTGAACGTATGGAGGAGAGGATGAAGGGCACCGCAGCTGAAGACGCTCTCCCACATATGCTCAGCGGGAAGATAAAAACGTACGTTTCCTGCATTGACGTTGAATATGAGTCCAGCCGGGTTGAAGACTTCTGGGATATTCAACTCAATGTCCGGGGAATACCAAACCTTGAGGAGAGTTTCAAAGATTATATTCAACAAGAGACTCTTGATGGCGACAACAAGTACTGGGCAGGCGATGAGTTCAAGTATCAGGATGCTCGCAAAGGTGTAATATTCAAGAGCTTTCCCGAGGTATTACATCTACATTTGAAGCGGTTCGAGTACGACATCCAGCGCGATACGATGATGAAGATCAATGACCGTTTTGAATTCCCCGAGGCTCTAGACCTGAAGTCTTACCTTGACCAGGATGCAGACAAGTCCGAGCCGTGGGTATACAAACTGCATGGTGTCCTGGTGCATAGCGGTGACTTGAATGCGGGCCACTACTATGCCTATCTTAAGCCCAACAAAGACGGCTGGTTCTACAAGTTTGACGATGACAAAGTCACAAAGGCAACCATTCGAGAGACACTGGAGGAGAATTTTGGGGGTGAATACCCAGCCTCGTTTTTGCAGTCTCGCACAGGCCTCCAAAAAAAGTCTCCGATCATGCGTCAGATGAGTGCGTATATGTTGGTCTATATCCGAGAGTCTCGGTTGGATCAAGTTTTGACGCCAGTCAAGAACGAAGATTGCCCGCCACATCTCCGTGAGTTTCCTCGAGTAACTTAAGTCAAGGATTAAGCTAATTTATTATATTTAGAAAAACGTCTGGATGAGGAGGCAGCTGCACGTGAGGCCAAGAGAAGAGAACGCGAAGAACAACAAGATAAGCTTCCTGTTAAGGTTATCACGGAAGAGACGTTCAAGCGTCACGGTTCCACCGACCTTACGAACTTCGACTCTAACCCTGATGAAGATCCAGCAGCCCCTAGGCTCTACACCCCACGAAAGGATGACGATATCTCCAAATTTATTCTTGAGGGTCTTGCCAATAATGACAAAGAAGCTGCCAAGAGAATTCGCGTGTGGATTATGGTAAATCGCCAGAACAAGACCACTAGACCTGATCAGCCGATTATGAACATGCAGGCGAAACTGAGGAATATTTATGAAAATATGATCCCGGCAAATAGAGACTATGCCCTGAGATTGTGGGCGGAAGTTGCAGACGAGGTTGATGCTGAAGGGCGAGCTATTTGGCCCACATATCAGAGCAACATCAACGCCAACGATGTTCTCATTAAGAACGACCTGATTCTTCTCTTCTTGAAGCATTTCGATGCTGAGAGGCAAATTCTCGAAGGAGTAGGTCACATCTATGTAAGCAGGGAGAAGAAAGTTGAAGATCTAGTGCCCGTGATCGCCAAGAAGATGGGTTGGGGTGACAAGTTACCCTCGGGAGAACAGTTGGCTATGTGGGAGGAGATTAAGCCAACAATGATCGAGAGTCTTAAGGCGAAACAAACCTTGAAAGCTGCCGAGCTTCAGGACGGCGACATCATATGCTTCCAGAGAATCGCCGAGCGGAAATCGGGCGAACTTCTTGGGAAGATCCCTCGTCTTGGAGATAAGAACTCAGAGGAGACGCCTAAACGATGGGACCGATATGATGACGCTAAGGGATTTTACGACTTCCTCTGCAACAAGCGAGAAGTTCGCTTCGATCCTCATCCTCGCTGCGAGAAAACTGATTACCAGAGCTTTATTCTTACACTAAGCACAAAAATTACTTACGATCAACTTTCGGAGAGAGTAGGCGAGGAGTTGGGCGTAGATCCTACTCATATCCGCTTCTTCACGGCCAACGCTTCCACGGGAAGTCCCAAGGCGGCAGTAAGGAGGGCTGTCAGTCAAAACCTCGGTACCATACTGAATCCAAATAACTACACCCAACAGACGTTGCAGATCAAGCCCAACTCTCTTTTCTTCGAAGTTCTAGATATGAGTCTTGCAGAATTAGATACGAAAAAGAATGTTAAGGTGACTTGGTTGAGTGAGGGCATGACGAAGGTCGTGAGTTTTTCAAGATGTGTATATGGAATATATCTAACCAGGATTTTTCTAGGAAACATTTGATATCTTGGTAAATAAGCAAGGGCACATTGAAGATCTTGTGCAAGCCTTCTTAAAGAAGGCGCAGATCAAGGACGAAGGCGAGGGTAGTCGAATTCGGGTTTACGAAATTCATCACCACAAATTTCACCGGGAACTCGTGCCTAACTACCCAGTTCTTAGTATTAACGACTACACCGACGTGATAGCGGAACGAATTCCGGAGGAGGAAATGGGCGCTGATGAAAGGGATTTTATCAAGGTCATTCATTTCCAGAATGACGCCAGTCGGGTCCACGGAATCCCGTTCAAATTCCTCCTCAAAGAGGTACGTGCATGAGCATATATAATAAAGAGAGGCACGACTAATTTAGACCAGGGCGAACCCTTCTCGGAGACAAAGAAGCGACTAGAGAACCGGACAGGCATCAAGGGCAAGGCTTTCGAAAAGATCAAATTCGCAATAGTGCGACGATTCCAGAAGCCGGCTTATATCAACGACGGTAAGGGATTATGCCACAGTAATTGCGAGGCGCAACTAACATGACATAGAAGATGTGCTTTTCGATGAGGGAGGCACCATAGAAGACGACGTCGTGCTTGGGCTGGACCACCTGGATCGTTCAAGAACAACGCGGAATGGGGGAGAAATGTTCCTCAAGTAGATCCTCCTACATATTTCATTGAAGCCTACTATGAGGAGTACGAATGTGCTCCCTGTGTCCCCCTGGGGGCCAATTAAGTATCGCGGAAGGAACTCATTGAGGATCCCGGCCGATGATTGATAACCGACGACCCGGATATACCTTTTGTATTAAGTAGTTATTGGGTTTCTGTGGCGCTTTTTTCTCATCCACGAAGACGTGCAGGAGATTCAAAGCACACGGCGAGAAAAGCAAAGAAGGATCAACCATGGGGCAAAGGTCAATTGGACCCCTTAGTACAGCGTGGTTAGTCGGACAAGACAGTACGGGAGGGCGGTCATATAGAAACGTGTCCGGGGCAAATCGGACAAGCTTTAGGGGCAAGTTAAGGCATCTCTCTATGGAGCAGCACGGGAGTTGCAAAACTGGTGGTGGACTTTGACCTGGGCATTGAATTCGTGGATCTAGACGCGAAATGACCGCAGGGTCCGGGCAAAGTTGGGGCCTACTCTACATACAATCGAGTTCCATCCTTTACGGGGCATGCGTGAATAGAGTTGTTGTATAGAAAATTATCTGCGTGCGTACATGCGAAAGCTCCTTTCTTTGACTTTTTCTCTGAGCTATAGTATTGTGCGATGCGATAATGGATGCAATAGGGGCAGACTAACCGAACAGGACTTCGTTATACGCTATGAAAAACTTATCCCTATTCTCCTATTCTCCTATTCTAAACAGTTGCATGGTTTGTCACTATTAAGAATCATTACTACTCCCGAAATAAACTGAATAAGTGCCTATGCAGTTTATTCATTTCCTCTGCGGTTCTTTGTTAGCTATATGCTCGAAAAGGTTATGGTGTGCTTCTACGAAATTTCTACTTACTCAGTTAGTGGCCGTAGGGTCGGTCAACCAATAACACAGAGTTACGGCAAATAGGCAAGTAGCCTAGGTATCACTCGTGCGCGTATGTTTCCTTCGTTCATTCATTCATTCATTCATTCATTCACCACGATAACCGTCTTCGCCGGGCTCGTCATCCTCGCGCTTATACTCGTAGACGTACTTGCCCTCGGTGGGCGTTGGGCCGAAGCCGTAGGGATAGCGCTCGGCGTCGTCGACGGGAGGGTGATCCCGGTCGTGGTCTTGGGGCTTGTTGTAGAGCCTTCGGCCGCGCTTGGTGGTGCTGGAGCTGGTGGCTGACGTCTTCTTCTCCGGGGTTTGGGGGGCGAGGACTTCGCGAGGTGCGTTCTATGCTTCCTCGCTGGTGTCGTTGCTGGTGCCTGGTTTGGTGGTGTCCGAGTTCGCGTTGCTGAAGGCGATTTCCATGTCTGCTAGGGCAGATGTGAAGACCGTGTCGAATAGGTCTTTGTTGCTGTTGTTGGCCTTGCTTTTTGGTAGGGGTTTGGGCTGGGCTGAGACGAGAGGTTGAGATGGTGGTTTGGGCTTAGCCTTGGGCATTGCGACGAAGCCGAGACTAGACAAGATCTCGGTGTCGGAGTTGTTCTCCTGGTCGCTGCTGCTCTGGTCCGGGACCTGCTGTTCGTTCTCCTGTTCGCGCTGGCGGGCTATCTTGGCTTGCTGCTTGCAGGCGTCGCAACACGCTTTCGAGTCCTCGCTGCGGAAAACACCCGCGATCTGGACGCCCGTTGAGCAGCGTCCGAGGCGCCTAGCTTTGAGAGCTTCGCGACAGTACCGGTTGCGCTTCTTCGAGCCGAGGATAGATTGGCAGTTGGTCGTGTGGCACTTGGTGTGGTAGTGGTATTGTTTACACATGGTAGACTATTGGGAATAGCTTCTCTGATTAGAATTTGGCTTGGTATCGCCGATGAGAGAAGAAACGGCGAGAAGTGTGTATGACAGCGTAGCAAGTGGTATGTTTGTTATGATACGGAATTCCAAAAACACCACTACGTTTAGATCGCACAGGTAAATATCACTGGTGTTGACTGGCAACGGCGCATATGTATTGCCTTTGTTGCCAGGATAATTAGCGCAGCTAGTAGCAAGGCAACATAGCGCCTCTGGTCCTTGCTGCTGCCATGTCTGCTTTGCGGACTTTGGTCATTTTACTTTTATTGCGTTTACTCATGAATAGTTGCGCGGATACCTGTGTTTACAACAAGATAGGAGTTGTATAAAATGCTATGAGAATGGACAGCCTTTTCTTATATCGTTCTTCGCCCTCTTCTACCGACATAGGGGATGCACAATTATATTATCTCCCTACTTACAAAGGCTGGTTTTATATCAGGTAGGTATGTAGGTACCTAGGTTTGTATTATTCAGGGGGCTATATTCTTGTACTATAGAGTTGATATATAGTAATATAAGAGGATAGATATATACAGCCCCTGAATATCACCAACCTACACAGACAGTTGAAAGATAATATTTAACATATGAGCTTGTAATACATATCAATTAATCATTTAACTAGGTTAGATACAACTCTTGCCAAGATATGATTCATAATATTTATGTCTGTCAGTAGAGACATGTTATCATCGTGTCCGCGTCTTACACTAGCGGTCTATAGTTGTGCTTGTGCTTATAAATTCGCCCACACGCATGACCCTAGTACCTAGCTTCGTTACCTCAAGCTCGTTCTCGTCTTTGCTTAAATAACCCTTAAACCAAAAGTTCCTATTGGGAGTTGACAAAAGTTCCAATGCGTAAAAATAGGATACTGCATAACGTTGCAAAACCATGCGGATGATGTCACGATGTATGCAGGACTTTTCGGAATAGCTGCGTGGCTAATCTCGGATAGGTAAAGCCTAACTTCCTATTCGGGACCAGCTCGCCTGTTATGCTGAAGCCGAAAGCTACATGTAGTGAGTTAATGCACGGTTTATAAGCAGTTGGCTCAACTTGACCTTCGCGCTCGCTCTATTCGGGTTGTATTAGTTATCAAGTCATTGTATTACAATCTCCAGGGTTGTAATTGGAAACGAAGCCGTGAAGCCGTGAAGCCGTGAAGCCGTGAAGCCGTGAAGCCAAGACGGGGCTTATTGCCCATCCATGCTGGATCCCTTCGGACTTATCGTGACCCCGTCACCATTGCACATACACCATCTCGTATAAGCAAACCGCTTCTCCGCATCTTCTATCCAACCAGCTGCATATTACTTATGAGATTTGTCACCATATAGAAGGCCGGATTGTGACGGGCGAGGGTCTAGCATGGGTTTGAGATATAAGATAGGTAGTTATATAAAGTGAAGAGCCCATGAGCTTTTCTATTTTCCCCCTGCGAGTTGCTCGAAGCAATATAAAATTCATCAAACTTCCAACCTATAGGAATTTAGTAAATATGGCAACGGCACACACTATCCAAATTACGCCCGAAAATACTGGGCTATGGAAGATTCAACAGGATGAAGCCTCGGCCGAGAAGGCTACTGAACTGTTGCAGGAGGACCTTGATGTAGGTCGAGCTCTAATTAATCATGAAAAGAAACACAGCTCTAATCCGAGGCTTAGAAACACCATGTATTCTTCAATGATATGGGCTACCATAATCAGTAAACCCCCGTCGTATATTTCGTGACTTAGACGGAAGCGTTGACCTATTCCTCAGTATAAGTCATCAAGTCCTAGCCCTATATGGTACAGGCGCCTCGCCCGAGCTTCTGAAGAAAGGTTACGATGTCAATAAGACGTACCAAAGGCCAGCTAAAAAGATCCGTGAGAATGTCGTCGAAGAGCTCGGGGACTGGGAGAAAACTAAGAAGTATCTTGGGAAAGGCGGGTAAGTCGAACATGAGAATGGATGGGGTCGTTTCATTCATCCGGACTCCTGGTAGCTATTGCCACATGATTAGCTGACATCCTAGTTGAAGATATTACAACGAGTTCCTAGCCTTTTTTCAAAACGAGATCGATAAACTGGGCTGGGAGAAGACACTTAGTGAATACATGTTCAGGGGCGATGAGAGAAGTGAAGACATGCTGTTTCGAATGGTCGCTGGTAAGCTTTATAAAGGACATTATCTTATTCTTAGTCGATGTCATATGTTGATACTTGCATTAGGATTATTTCACCCCATAATCCAGCTAATGTACGGCGTCGAATGGAAACAACCTGCCATAGTAGCCATGGCTCTGGCCCAAGCAGCCGTCCATAAAGATGACCTAAGGAAGTTCCTATATACGACCGAAGAGGCCGCTAAATCAAATACAGAGCCCATGCCCAGCATCGAGAGCCTATTAAGGGAAGTTAAGGCGAACGAAAAGCTCTCCACTTCTATCCATGGCACAGATGAACCAACTAAAATTAGTAAGGGCATCTTTGGTAAAGCATGGGACGAGATTGTCGAGCTAGCGAGCAGGGTGAAGGTCAAGCCGGAAGAGCTAGACGAGAGGAATGCCGAGATGTATCACATATCCGTATACGAAGGTGCCTCGGCGGCTTTCTATCCTGGCAAGGAGCCCAAGTTCGACTTCTTCATTATGTATGTCTTCTTACCCACCCTTCATAACTTAAGTGGTTTACTCACGGCAGATAGGCACCACATCAACATCAACCCCATATACATCATCTTGAATGGCCTAGACTGGATCCCGATCGAAAGTAAAGTGAGGCTCCTCGAATGGAAAATACGACTCGACCTCGTCCAGTACGCAGCCAGAGGCTGTCCACCTTTTGAACTCGATAATATCGCCGCATACGTCCCGCGTGCTGGGAAACTGACTTCGGTAGATGGTACGCATTTATTTACAACACATGGCTTAAAGCACATTTTTATCAAGTTTAAACTAACTAACTAACTAACTAAACTCTGATATAATAGAACAACTCGCTCTAATGCACACCCGAGAAGAAGACGGCCACGGCATCAAGCTCTTCCGCGCGGTCAGCATCGGCCAGACCCTAAGCGAGAAGTACGAGGACAGGCCATGGATTAGGATCAAGGGGGACATGTGGACTAGGATTGGCCACCTCGTTGTCGACTCGTTCCAGACAGAACCACACTGGGTACGCGGTGCCGGCGAGGATGAGGCGTGGGATGTTATTCCGGATCGGGTGGATGGTGCTAATGGTGTCAATGGTAAGAATGGGATTTCGGATAAGCTTGATCAGGTACATCTTTAGTTTGGGTGAGACAAAGGAGCTGGGGAATGGGAGGGAGAGTATTTGTTGGATTGTATTATATTGTAACGAGTATTATAATGACGCCGCTCCGTTGTATTAGTTGTAGGATGTTAGGTCTATAGGATGCTTATACCGAATACTTTCTTATGTAGGCAATATCTGTTTATCAGTGCAAGGTATAATGCAAGGTATAATTCTAAAAACGGGGGAATTTCGGTCAAGAGGCTGCACAGGTGGTTGGTTACTTGTACTTGTACTTATACATACTTGCGACTTCCTTCGTGTCGGCTGTAATTACTTATAATCAACTACATCTCCCGGATACAACGGATACAACGTACATGTGCGCATATAAGTAAAGCATAAATGAAGCATAAGCAACCTTGTCGAGTTTACAACAAGATTCCAGATCCGACTACCATTGACCTCGTCAAAGACAACTCCTCACCAAGAGAGTTTAGACGGTTTACACCGCATAACGCGTTTGCATGCTCGGCCTCCGACCGACGCTGCGGGCCCGGCCTGTACGTATTACATATACATATGCACGAAGCCCCCTTAGGCGTTACTCAATGGAGCAATCGCGTTACTGACACTGGCTCGTTGCTCAAAGTCTTTAGTGGAGCTGATTGAGCGGCGGGGAAACCACGGCCAAAGTACAAGTCCGGGTTCAAGTCGACCGGTCACACCTACCTCGAGCCCTGCGCAATTTGCGTCACCTAGCAGCTCCGATAGCCCTGGCAGAGCCGCTAAAGCCACAGGCCTAATAGCTGAAGCTGCTAACCAACCACTACCACCCAGCCCGCTGCTATCACCAGCTACCACTAATACTAACACTAACACTAACACTAGCACTAACACCATAGCCACCACTGCCACTACTGCTGCCACTGCTGCCACTGCTGCCACTGCTGCCACTGCTGCCACTGCTGCTACTCCTAACATCATCACAACTACAACTACAACTACAACTTCAACCTCTACCACATCGACGCCGGTCTCGTCACCCCCAGCTTCGCCCTTGCCAGCTCCTACAATATCTATCTCTCCTGTCTCTCCAGCTATAGAACCGCTTTCTGCACCGAAAGAGACTCCCAAGATGGCTCCGGTAAGCCTAGCTATCTCCCGCCACCTCCAATCTGCAGCAAAACTTGCAACAAAGCAACAAAGCAACTAGCTTAACTTAACTTACCCTACCCCCTTGCAACTTGGATATCTAACGTCTCTTGTGCATCTAGTCAGCGAAAGCCACAAATGGCGAAGAAGCGCTCAATAGTGGTATGTAGATCTACTGTTTATATACGCTGTTGTCTGTCTAATGAGCTGATCACTTTTGTATACGTGCAGGCAAGATCTACTCCGTATCCGGGTTCGTAAACGATGCACCATGTCTACTTATAGCCTCCGATCACAAAGCTGACATATTAACCTAACTAGACCCGTCGTGGTGGCCGAGGATATGATAGGAGTTGCCATGTACGAGCTTGTAAGAGTCGGTCACGATAACCTGGTCGGTGAAGTCATTCGAATCAACGGCGACCAAGCTACCATCCAAGTTTATGAAGAGACCGGTGAGTGCTGCTCAAGCATCTCGCATGCCAATTCTAAGCAAGAGGATATAAAATTAATATTAAAGCGTAGCTGGTATAACTGTGGGCGACCCCGTCCAAAGAACCGGTAAACCTCTTTCCGTCGAACTCGGTCCCGGCTTATTACACAACATCTACGATGGAATTCAACGACCCCTCGAGAAAATCGCCCAGCAGTCTAACAGCATCTATATCCCTCGCGGTATTTCGGCGCCTGCTCTTGACCGAACCAAGAAGTGGGAGTTTACACCAACCTTGAAGGTCGGCGACCACATCTCCGGTGGTGATGTCTGGGGATCCGTCTTTGAGAACTCTTTCATCAAGGTACACAAGATCCTACTTCCGCCACGAGCAAGAGGAACTATCACCAGAATCGCCGGAAAGGGTGAATATACCGTGGATGAGAAGATTCTCGAGGTCGAGTTCAATGGCACCAAGACCGAGTATGGCATGATGCACACCTGGCCCGTCCGTGTTCCGCGACCCACGACCGAGAAGCTCTCCGCCAACAGGCCTTTCATTGTCGGCCAGCGAGTTCTGGATGCCCTTTTCCCTAGTGTACAAGGCGGTACTGTGGCTATTCCCGGTGCTTTCGGTTGTGGCAAGACTGTCATTTCGCAGTCCGTCTCCAAGTTTTCCAACAGCGACGTCATCGTGTACGTTGGATGTGGTGAGCGAGGTAACGAGATGGCTGAAGTCTTGAAGGATTTTCCTGAGCTGTCTATCGAGGTTGAGGGCCGCAAGGAGCCTATCATGAAGCGAACCACCCTGATCGCTAATACCTCTAACATGCCCGTCGCCGCCCGAGAAGCTTCCATCTACACGGGTATTACTGTCGCCGAGTACTTCCGTGACCAGGGCATGAACGTGGCTATGATGGCTGACTCGTCATCTCGATGGGCCGAGGCCCTGCGTGAAATTTCCGGCCGTCTCGGTGAAATGCCTGCCGACCAAGGTTTTCCTGCTTACCTTTCCGCTAAGCTGGCCAGTTTCTACGAGCGTGCAGGAAAGACGAGCTGTCTAGGCTCCCCCGAGCGCGAGGGCAGTGTCAGCATCGTCGGTGCCGTCAGTCCTCCGGGTGGTGATTTCTCCGATCCCGTTACCAGTTCGACACTCAGTATCGTCCAAGTGTTCTGGGGTCTCGACAAGAGACTTGCGCAGCGGAAGCACTTTCCGTCCATCAACACGTCGTTATCATACAGCAAGTACACGAACACGCTGGACAAGTGGTACGAGAAGGACTACCCCGATTTCCCGCGGTTACGTGACCGCATTAGGCAGCTTCTATCAGACTCGGAGGAGCTGGACCAGGTGGTGCAGCTGGTCGGTAAATCAGCGCTGTCGGACCCCGACAAGATCACGCTGGACATTTCGACACTGCTAAAGGAGGACTTCCTGCAACAGAATGGATACTCAGATTACGACCAGTTCTGCCCTATCTGGAAGACGGAATGGATGATGAAGCTTATGGTCGGCTTCCACGACGAGGCGCAGAAGGCTGTTGCACAGGGCCAGAGCTGGTCCAAGGTACGTGAGGCTACGAGTGACCTCCAGGCGCAGCTGCGAAGCCTCAAGTTTGAGCTCCCGAGCGAGGGACAGGAGGCTATTAGCAAAAAGGTAAGCAACCCAGTTCACAAAGAAGAGCTCGTTCCTATTAGACGGGGATGAAGTTTCACATGCGTAATGAGTTGTACGATGCTAACTTAGTTTACAGTACGAGGCCATCCAGCAGACTATGCTGGACAAGTTCGCCGCAGTTATGGACGAGTAAAGCGGGAAAGGGGACCTGTAGTTTATCCGAACGTTATACGAAGTACTTTTTCTCTTGAGGTGCTATCGGTATAGTAGTGTGTGTGTGTGTGTACATAGAGAATAGGAGATAGGTCTTAGTCCGTGGGCATGCTAAATGCCATCGGCTAACTAACTAACTAACTAACTAACTGAGCGAGCCGAGCTAAACGAGCAGTGTTAGGGTACTGTTACCAATACAATTGAATTGCTACTTGTACTTTCTGATAGTTAGTTGTGATTATGGCTAGTTTGCTTCTGGGAGGATTTGCTCTGCTAGTCGCTTTTCTTGTTAGGGACTTCCTCTAACTACGAGGCATACGAGTCGAACCCAAAGAGAAATCGTAGACGAGGTGGACTTTACGCATAGCATATTCCGGCTATCACAATATAGATGTTCAGACCTTAAAGACGCGAGAAGTAACCGTCCTGGAGAAAAAGTCTTATTCGACATGATCGCTCACGTCATATCCTGCCTTTCTGTCTGTTTGCCTGTCTCTTATTGCACAACCACCTAGGTTAGCCATCCAGCCAGCCAGCCCTCGACCCTCATCAAGCTGTTATTCATTGATACACGTTTCCCTCGCTTACACACGCAAAGCGCCAACTCCAGAAACATACATAGGCACACACACACACACACACGCACACACACGCTGTACACAAAAACCGCTATTCGAAGATTTTACAAAACAACCTCGGCTTTCAGCTGAGGTCCCCCCCTCCAATGCCATTTTTGACCAACTTCTTTTTATTTTATCGCAAGACACATAGATTGCGTCTTGTGAAATATTCGCAAACTTCTGTAGCTCTTGTCATGTCTTGCCTCTTGATGAAGTCTCGTATTACTGGTGCCCTCCAATGGGTTTATATGTCAATGAGTGGCTCTTCTGCATCAGGCGGTCTCTCGTTACCCCTCTCGCCTTCCGGTGATCGATCCTGACCCCCCGACCCCTCACTAGCGGTGGCAGTGGCAGTGGCGGTATCACTATCTCCGCCCTGTTCTGTATCATCTAGTCTCTCAGATTGCTGAGCCGCAGCTGCGGCGGCAGCTTCGGCCTCCTCCCGTCGTCTACGTTCGGCCCGCGCCTCGGATTCAACTTGCGCAATATGCCGCTCGGCAACTCCTGGAGCGATACTAGCAAGAAACAGGATACCAGCACGTTCTAACCTCCTAACTTGGTCCATCAACCAGTTGGCATTCTCATGACGTCGCTGTTGCACCAGCCTGGCTGCCGTATCAGCCGGGTGTAGTTCCCTTTGCTGTTGTCCACCATCCGCCGCACCATTTCTGCCCTGGATGCCCCTATCTCGTGCGTCTACTTGTACTGCTGCGTCCTCGTGGCCGTCGGCTGGAGGTATCAAGTTCTCCAAGCGTTGGCGGAAAGGGACCCACAGTTGATTCAAAAGGCCAGTGCGGGCGAGAAGCATGATGACTGCGGCGCCAATCATGAAAAAGAAACGAGACCAGCTAGATCTTGGCGATGAGAATAGCCAGATGAAGAAGCCGATACGAGCGACCAACCAGATATGCGGCCATAAATGAGCTATTCTGATAGCCTGAATTTGTGGGTTGTCTGCACGAGCTACAGCATGTCCTATATGTGGCATCTGAAGGGGCTGAGGTAAACCATGCTGTTGTTGAGCCTGGTGTTGCTGTGGCTGAGTAGCATTATGTCCTCGGTGGTCACCTATGAGACTTCGTCCGGCTGGAGGCATTTGCGGTTGGGTTGGCGCTGGTACCTGCGCCGTATATTGCGGATGGAAGGCATTGGCAAATATAAGTGGATGTTGTCTCTGCGCAAATGGTACACTCATAGGTGGGTTTACGGGTCGAATTGGAGGGCTGAAGTATGTCTCTAAGCCGCCATTGAGCAACAAGGCACGAGGTCCACTAGGGGAAGATAAGATATAGACCTCTGGTGTGTTTTGAGACGAATGCGTATGATTTTGGTGTACAGGCAGGCTTCTGGATTGACCGGCTGCTCTAAACGGATCTGGTGTAGCAGTAGCGCTGCCTGCTCGAGATGGAATCAACGGCGTAGTAACCCCAGGCGGAATAGGATACTGAGCTTGGCCGGTTGCAAGGCCTGCTAGGGAAGAGCTGCTAGCATTCCTACGCATAGCATCAGCCATGACCCGAGTTGCCGCGTTAGTATCCGCAGCTCGTAGAGCATCCTGTGCTTCATTGTCGTAAAGTTGGCTCCCATTCGGAGTAGAGCGTGCTTGAGAAGCCCAAGCATTTCCTGGTCGCTGTAATGGATTCGCAAATGTTTCGTTGTAAGTTATCCGCCAGTGTAATCCATTAGAATCGGTTCTCTCACTGATTGTGGTACGCGTCATCTCTGCCTGGAACGGCGAAGCTATCCTTCCAGGTGTATTCACTCCCGGTGTTCCCCTTGCGCTAGTAGTAGGTATATCCTGCGCCCCTGGCGTAGCCGTTCGTTGGTTATGGTCGCGAGCTCCCACATGAGCATTCAGGGCTCTTACCCACTGGTTATACTGCTGCGGAGAAAGGCCAGGCGGAAGGACCATTGGCTGGCCTACAGCCGGCATCCCAGGAACAGGCCTTTGAGAACCAAAGCTTAGGCCTTGGTAATGAGGGATTCCAGTGCGCGCCTGAGGGTCGGGTTGGAAAGGATTAGTGTTGGGATGCAGCTGGTGCTGGGAAAGAGGGTTGACCCCAGTCGAAGGTTGACCCGAAGTAGTGCTTTGGTTTGGAGGAGTTGGCGTAGACGTTGGTCGGCCATCAGAAAGATCTCGTAACACTAGATGTAACGTCTGGTGATCCGTAGAGCGCAGCTATATCGAAATATTCGTCAGCCGAATTTCCCTCTCTCGGAATTTAACAGTTAGACACATACCGCTTCCTGACCGAAGATGTCAGTCATTGTCTCGTTATCACGGGCCAACAAACGGCCTCTGTGAATGAGACGCTGCGCCTGGTCGGCAGGTTTAGTGCTAACAACATCTCGGATGCGCTCCTTTAGCTGTTTAACAGTGGTACCTATGGGAAGCTTCTGGAGCGCTAGTGGTTGCGGTATGCCTACAGAAGGCGATAGGATTTGCAGGGTAAAGGTCTCCGAGTTGGAATCAGCTGGAGAGTTTGCTGGGGGTGCTAAGTCGGACGCCATCGTGGTTTAAAGGATAGTGGGTGAAAACATATCAGGCAGACAAAAAATAAAAACCGTTACGGATTTCCCGCAACAGACACGTAGCTTGTTGTATTGTGGTATTGTGGTACTGTGGTATGTAATGTTTGCAAGACGGACACTATGATGTATGTTTAGAAGAGAAAAAAAGAACGGGAAAGAATTAATTAAATTAATGGAGTAGCACTAAGTTTAGACTTGATAAATAGGGAAAGAGGAGAATAGAGGTCAAATTTGAACAATGAAGTAGGGAAAGTGCTGTTGGGCTTGTCGTCGTCGGCAAGAGGCAGCGGACTATGAGACGAGGGACTATCAATGCAAGCTGTTCATGTCATTTGCTTACCTAACTGTGCGACCACAGCATTCCCGCGTATATAAGGTACCTAACCTTAAGTACCTAATGTACCCTAAGTAGGCTAAAAGGGACCGTGCCTACAAAGTACCTAGTGTACACACCCCAATACATATATCGGGTAATACCTAACCTAGGTAGGTACTCCAACACTAAACCTTACGAAATACAAGCAGCTACGAAGCAGCGAAAGGTAACGACAGATTGAACTCTGCCAGCTGCCGTCGCCTTGTATGTACCTAGGTAGCCAAGCTGAAAGGGGATAGCTCTTCAGCTCCACCCGCCCTGCGTCATTGAGGGTCTTCCCAGTCTGCAGCCGGTGTTGCATTTGGCCAGTAACGAACTTCAAGTCTCCAACATTTCCAACATTTCCAATTATTACACTACAACTTCAGTTCTAATAGAACTATAGGAGTGAACCCTAGTGTTTGTACGGGGTCTTGATTGATTCAATTCAATTCTTCCTCATTCCTCATTGTGACAATTGCCTACCATTCATTAAACGAATGTCATCGTCTCTATATAGTAACTTTCGTTTCCCAATATACGTACCGACTTAGAGCTAGCCATTTATTAGCGTGTCTTTCTTTTCCCTCCTCCAGAAAGATTAATGAGACGATTACAAAGATCTTAGAGACATAAGACATGTCAATGGCAAGTCTATGCTCAGTGTCTATCCGAGGGCATACGCCCGCGTTGAGTCGCCCGATATCGCCATGCATGCTTCGAAAAACGTATACTGCCGCGACAGGACGGTCGACGAAACATCTCGTAGCCTCGCCTAGGGTGTATTTTCATCATGCGTCGCAGAAATACCAAAATAGCCAGCGCTTCGGGTCAAGACTGCGAAGCGCGCTGAAAGAGACGAAAGTTAAATGGTATCCTATACCTGTCAGCTTAGGAATTGGCTTTCTTGGGCTGGTGCAGTTCTACAAAACGCAAGCTCGTGAGAAGGAAAGGCTCGAAAAAGAGGCTTCAGATAGCGATGAACCTGGTGTTCGCCCTAGGAAACGAGCGCGAGTACGACCAGATGGCCCATGGTATGCGCTCGATATATACAAGACCTATTTTCGTCAACCTCGTGGCTGACCCGCTCTCCTTAGGCAAGTGAAGGTAATGTCAACTCTGCCTCTGAAGGCATTGTCAAGGTTATGGGGCAAATTCAACGAACTCACCATCCCCTACTACCTGCGAATCCCCGGCTTCAAATTATACGCATTCATATTCGGCGTCAACTTGGACGAAGTATCCGAGCCAGACCTTCGTATATACCCTAACCTCTCGGCCTTCTTCTATCGAACGCTGAAGCCCGGTGTCCGGCCATTGAACCCGAATCCGAATGCGTTGTTATCGCCTGCCGATGGGCGTGTGCTACAGTTCGGAAAGATCGAGGGCAACGATATCGAGCAGGTCAAAGGCATGACATATACCGTCGACGCGCTACTAGGTAAGAACACACCTACGCCTAGCCTGTCTGGTGAAGGAAAAGAGATCCCCGACCAATCGCCAACGCCAACGCCAACGCGCGGGGACGAAGAGCTCGTCTCGTCAGATGAAGAATTCGCACGGGTGAACGGTATTGCTTATACTCTACCCAACCTCCTCTCCGGACCGGACAAAACCCACGAAAGCTCCAGCAAGAAGTTAGAGGACCAAGCCGCTACCCCGTCCAGTCCCGGTGCCGTGTCCGAGGTACGAGCGGATCTAGCGCTCGGGGAAAAACCCTGGTACGCACTCCTATCGCCGGACAACCGGACAGCCCTCTACTATGCAGTCGTATACCTAGCACCAGGCGACTACCATCGATTCCACTCGCCAGCGAACTGGGTAGTAGAGCGACGGCGGCACTTCGCGGGGGAACTATTTTCCGTGTCGCCATACCTGCAACGCACACTACCCGGCTTATTCACACTAAACGAGAGGGTGGTCCTCCTCGGCCGATGGCGCTGGGGCTTCTTTAGCTTCGTGCCCGTAGGCGCAACCAACGTCGGCTCTATCACCGTCAACTTCGATCGCGAGCTCCGAACCAACTCGCTCCTAACCGACACAGCAGCCGACCGCGCAGCCGAAGAGGCCGCCGCGCGAGGCGAGCCGTACGCCGGCTTCGCTGAGGCTTCGTATGCAGCGGCAAGCAGCGTGTTAGGCGGCTACGCCCTGCGCCGCGGCGACGAGATGGGCGGCTTCAAGCTCGGCAGCACCATTGTACTCGTCTTCGAGGCCCCTGTTGCTGAGAACCCCGGCGCGAAGGGCGGGTTCGCATGGGCCGTGGAGAAAGGGCAGAAGGTCAAGATGGGCCAGGCGTTGGGATTTGTTGAGGAGTAGTGGTATGGAAAGAAAAGTGGCAGAAATGGATGGTGTATATATATATGTATATGTATATGTACCAACTACCTAAGCTAAAGCTAAGCTATCTACTGTAGTAGTAGTAGTAGTAGTCGCAATATTAGGATAATACAAATGAGTAAAATAAAGAATAGAAATAGAAATGAAAAGTGAGAGGCAGAATAGTGCTGCTTCGCATTCGATGCTGCTTCGCATTCGATGAAGTCGGCTATGTAACTCACTCTTGTGAGACATTGGAGGCACTGTTGGCTGCAAATGAATAATAGTATTATCCTACATATACGAGGCAAAGGCGACGGGATGAGTTCTTAATATTTTAAGACTAAGATGTTTAAAGCTTGCCAACCGATTCTGTGATCAACATTTCATCGCAACACAATACACCCCTCACTACCCCCTTTACTTAAACAGTGGCGACTTTTTAAGACTTTTTCAGTACGAAGAAACCCAGCGTCCGGGCGCATCAACCCACCACGCCAGACCACATACCACACATACTACACATTACCTATACATAGTTAACACAAAAGACAAGGTCTATCAAGATTGACATTATCGTTTCGCAAAGCTAAACCAGCCGTTTGTTGCTGATGATCATTGCCCTTATTTCCATCCTCTAGACGCCGCGACGGGAGCCGCCAGACGAAACAACAAAAAACAACATAATATATCTGATCTGCCACTACTCCCCTCCCCTCCCTCTTCCCCGTCAATCCTGACACGAGACAAAAAATTCCATACATTGATCGAGAAGCACTGCTACTTGCCACGCACAGACAGCAGAACAAGCCTCCTAGAACCCCTACTAAACTTCCCTTTTTCCTCTCCTCGATCCCCTAGGGCGTTGGCGCTTAGAACCGCCGTATACACTTTTCTCAGCATGCATGGATAGTCCAGTCCAGTCCATCTCCACTGCCTTGCCTTCTTCCCCTGCGTCGTTTCCTCCAAGTATACCTAATTCTTACGCTTCCGCGACGATAACCACTTTTATCGAGGCTTCGTAAGCGTACGAATGAGCACCGTCTCACATCACGTATAGTAAGCGCGGTTGTTGACCCCCTTAACCGAATTCTATTTATCGAAGACGGGAATAGGGGAATTCGCACAACATACAAAGCCATCAAGTATGTACTGGGAAATTTAAAAAAAAAAAAAAAGAAAGAAAAAACCACCTAACGTGCACTTGACATCCCGGAGATTGACCCAATCCAAAGTATCGCCGAAGGATTAGAGGCTGACAGGCCTGCTTCAAGCCGCTATCAAACATTACTTGTTTGCGACCAAAAACGCAAGTCAAGTCCGCACACAAAGGTCGGAGTCGACATCAAGTACCGCGCAAGTTAGGATGAGACAGCCCGATGCTTACTAGAAACAATGAGCTGTGATGGTGTATGGATAAATCGAAATAGAATTTTTAAGAGGTTCGTGTAAACCAGGTCATCGTCGCCTACAAGTTCTATCGTAAAAGGAGTCGAGCACTTCTGAAATGCTCTTCGTGGGAAGGTTCACAGGGGATAGGAGGAACGAGAATCAAAATCACCGCTGACTCCGCGCAGAGCTAGCCGAACCCTGCCGCTCGTGCGTATTGGGGCGGCGGTTAGTTCTGTCAGCATCCTGAAGCTTCAACGAATCCAACCTCTTCTGGTTATCCTCCGTGACCGAATCGGCTTCTTCAACTCGCGGCATTATGCTTAGTGGCTTTGAAGCCGGGGTACCATTCCCAGAGGCGCCGTTGACTCTCCTCTTGTTAGCCTGCTCTGTGATAGCAGCCCATTTCCTCTCTCGGAGGGCTTCCCTTGCTGCAGCATTATTTTGCTGTTCTGTATATTCGTGAGAGCAGTCGTCGAAAAGCTGCGGGTTGATCTCCATAAAGAGCTTCATCGCATTATACACCATCCCATGGATTGTTCTATTTCATTGTTAGCTTCGGGAAATAACAGCTTGGTCTTTGGTTTCTCACCTGTTCCAGTGTCCCTTAGAATTTTCGTAAAGCGGTGCGAACATGATGGGCAGGATGATATCGACGTTATCGCTCACGAGGTTGCAGAAATACTCATTGTTCCAGAAATATAGGGCTCGCTCTGCAACTTGGAAATGCGGGCTTGCGACGGATTTGGCGAGCTGGTGGAACAGCGGCTCCTGGACCTTTGTGAATTCTGCAGGGTCCATTACCTCGAAAATATCTTCAACCTCATTGAGGTACATAACCTCCTTGGTGCTGTTGACTTTCGGCCAGTATCGGAGAAGGCCGAGAACGACATCCTCGGTAAGCGAGGCGTCTTTTTCGAGGAACTGAACAATACAGTACGCGAGTTGAGGGTGGTACATGCTAAGACTCTTCACTTTGTGGAGAGGGAGTAACACCCTGGTCAAAAATAGCTTATGCTCCTCTTTGAGAGGCAGGGCGAATCCGTTAATAATGGAGCCGAGAATCTCAAGCAGCTCGGCCACGCCATTGAATCTCTCCGTTTCATAGGTGAACTGAAAGAAGACGTTGTTGATGGAACGTCGGATGAAAGAACGAAGGTTTAAGAATTTTCCATAGATGCGATGCAAGGTTGTTTTGAGGAAGTCTCGTTCGCGTGGGTCTTCCGAGTCAAAAAGCTCCAAGAGCTGAAGTACAAAGCTATGGTCGATATATGCTTTAGCGATGTTCGTGTTGAAGTCCTGGCTCTCGATAAATCGCAAAAAGAACTCGTAGACGACCTGGATATGGGGCCAAGCCACCTCTAGCACAGGTTCGTCTTCCTCGGGATCAAATGCTTCGCCTTGCGGGTTCATAGGCGGGGGGATCGGGCGGAATAGATTCTTTGCGAACATCTCAACGACGCGAGGATACATTGGTTCCGTGATAACTTGACGATTATTGGCTACGTAGTCAAGTAGCTCATGTAGGGCTAGACGTTTGATCTCTTTGGACTTCATGTCGGCACTAGCATCGTTGAAGTCAAAAATGACGTTGCACTGATCAATCTTCTGCATGAAAAGCTCCTGTCGTCGGTTAGGCGGTACTTCATGAAACCCTGGTAGCTTTTCCAGTTCTCGATGGGTCGAGATGTCAAATCGCGACGAGTTCTGTCTCCTAGGTGTCCTGAGACCTTCGGGGACATCTTTCGGTGTCTGGTGGAGACGGTCAAAGACAAGGGATTTTGAGCCGGCTTTGGGTGGAGCGAGATCGTGCGGCATGGTCTCTGCAGCGCCGGGAGGTGGAATGTGCTACGGACAAAGATAAGTTAGTCATCATCTTAGGACTATGGGAAAGGAAAAAAAAAGGAGGTGTGGCCTACTGGAGCACTCGGACTAATGACCACGGTTGGCGGAAGGGTACCACCATGTCGAGGGGTAGCAGCACCATTTAGCGACTGCTGAGCGCCAAACCGGTCAGGCAGAACGCCAGGTGCTTGGCCAACCTGACCTTGCAAAGCAGAGCTACCATGATCACCACCATGTGTTCCAGCATTATTGGGAGGGAGGGGCTTGTTTCTGAGATCGTTCAGCGTCGAGGTAGAGGAAGAGGGTGTCAATACAGGCGACTGGGTCTCTCGAGAACCACTAGACGAAGGTGAAGCCGTGCCATCTTTGGAATCCTTATTCTTCTTGGTGGACTTGCTGTCCTTGCCTCGCGAGAGCTATTCGGTAGTGATTGGTTAGCGACATGTATATACTGGCGGGGAGAATGAGAGCTTTGGAAAACAAGTATGAAATAAGTAGGCAGACATACCGCTCGCCTGAAGCCCTTCATCTTTGTAAGTCGAGGCCCCTACTTACGGCGGGGTGGGGACACTCGACTCTCTCGTCACTTTAGGATGTTGTTATAGGAGATTGAGAGTTGATGAGTATAGCGTCAATAGACGCGTTGCCGTAGCAAGGCCCGAGTGCTTTTAAAAGAAAAAAACACACAAAAAGAAATATGTCGAAAGTAGAAGTTGAGAAGTGGATGATCGGGTGACCGGGTGAATGGGTAGTAGAATTAGGTTGTGGATTCACCGTCTGTTTGGTACGAGGCAGAGAGATTCATGAATTAACAGTTAGGTTTAAGGAGGCGGTACGGCGCTGCGGGAGAGTGGCTGTCGCATAAAGTCGAGTAAGCGAATTAGCAGCGGGTTGTAGTTAAACAATGAATAGCAATAGCTCATGCAAGATAGCTCAAATTGAGCCTCTTAGCTTGAGAGAGAGACTAACGAACCCGGGGTCGAATGTTGAACAAGTTCAGAGAGATATGAAGTTTGAGTTGTCGTTGTGGAAGGTGGAGAAGCGTTCTGCGTCTACACACAAGCCAACAGTGAGTGGTACATAGCGGTAGACCGTAGGCGGGTTTAGTTTTAGAGACTCCGGTGATCTTCCATACATAGGGCCACTTTCACAGGTGCCAAAGCGAAGTGGCCTACAATTCAGAGTACATAATCATGTACGATAGGTACTGGATCCAGTCCAGATGGAGATAATGTACATTAAGTACATAGGTACATGCATGCATGCGAGTAGGGTACAGGTACATAATCCACAGCCAACCAATGCCTTCCTAGGTACATATGTAGTGCTGTGCAATACATACATGTATTTAAAGTACCTCACCTCTACAATGTACATGTACCCTAGCAACAATATCGAGTTTGCCAGCTAGGTAGGTAGGTACCTACAATGTACGTGACTTATATATTTATGTACCTAACACTAAAGAAAGGGCTACAACCATAAGGATGGATGTTCAATTCGATGTCATCTTCCAAATTTCCAGATAGCCTCAGACAGTGGTTAATATGATGAAAACTTTGTTATTATCATCAGGCTTTCTGACCGTCAATTGATATCGTACCCGAAGAAGCCAAGTCGTTTAAATATGTATGGAATGCAGGTTTGCTTGTACTCATGAACCTGCATATTATGCATTCATATATATTTGTGCAAAGTCCAAGTTAAGTACATACTGCCAGCTGCCAGCTGCTATTACTACATACTACATACATGTGGCGGTCTGTGGGGTCTGTTGCATGATTTACATATGTACATATGTACCTAATGCTTTATGGTGAAGAGTTGTGTCGAATCACAAGTCAGTTGGCGGGGCAGAATTGATCCAATCACGCAGCAATTTACTTATTCACATACACCTTTTAACAAAACTCATCTTTATATATGTGAGTAAGCAGGTATATCTTGTAGTGTAGTGCATACCTATGTATGTAGGTAGCTGAACTCGACTTTGTAGAAACTCGGGTATTGACTGCTTGCCGATGTGTAATTGTAATAACTTTAAATTATGCCGAAGAAAAAAATATGAGAGGCCCGGGCTTTACTTCGGCAGGTACATAACAACTGCCGTAAATTATTGCGGATCTCAATGATGACCTTGGAACTGTAGGTAACACTTAAGAGAATACATGTACATACCAGTATGTACATTGCACCTTGCCTGTACAAGATATGTTTAATTGGGTCTTGCTCATAGGCTGAATCTTCGATGTCAGGTGACACTTTACACTATGCTTCGCACTGTATTGACTTCTCCGATTTATGAGATTAAAACTTATTATGGTTAACTTCATAAGATATCATCATTTAGGTAGGTAGGTAACTAACTAGGTACCTTTCATGGTAAGTACCTATCAAGGTTCACGAAACTCAAAACTTCAAACATAGACATGAAGACATGAAGCCATGAAGACATGAAGACACGAAGACCTATTGTGTCGAGGAAACGTAGTGCATCGTTTTTGAAACCGAAGCGCCATCCATCAGATTCGAGAGCTGTAGCCTAGTCAATTATCAGATATCACAGAATTTCGCACAGCATATTAAGCAAGCCACTACAACGGTATTTATGCTACGCATGAGAACTGATATCGATGGTTCTCCTTTACAGTCCCAGAGATTTCCGTAAATTCCTGTATAAGGCTTAAGATCTTTTTCGACCGTATATCATGCCGATCATGATGGAAGCCGAAGATGAATCGTACTATGTGGATGATGAGGTCGACGACGCCGATGACTCGGCCGGTGCCCCTATATTCGAGGTTCCTCCGAGGAAAATAGTCGCCATAGAACACCCGTGTGTTATCCTCAACCTTGACAAGGGACTAGCTACCTTTGGACCAGACCCAGACTTTCAGAAAGTAGGCAAATCGACATTCCTCGCAAGCGCAAGCGCAAGCAACTAATCAGCTATGATAGCTTCTCATGGACACGGCAGAGCCTAGCTCAGTTCCCCTGTGGTTCCGGCCCGAGAACCCAACATCAAAGCCCATCGTATCACACCATGCCGTCACCAACAACATCCTGCTCAAGATCACTGTCCCCAAGAGGACGGGCAGGAAACGAAAGCGAGGAAGCAACGAGCCATTTACAGGAAATGTCGATTTCACAGATGGCACATCCCCCATCTCGGGGACCGAACGAATCAGCTCCCAGGGTAGACAAGATTTGCCCAAATCTATTCTCCGAAAGATGCAAGATAATCCTGAAGATTATCAAGTTGAAGCTGTCGGAAACATTCACGCTACTCACAGATATCGAGGCTTGGCAGATTTCCAGTTCGCCAACACAAATCCTTCCTTCTTAACCAATATCGCCGAGCATATGCTTCCAATGAAAGGTAAAATAGACATCTAACATATTCTACTAGCTACCTCTTTTTTTATACTAACATTTTATCCAGTCTCAAAGCTGCGGAGGATCAAATTTACGCCTGGCGTAGCCACGGGTCCTGGTCAGGAGATAATACCTCCACCGCACTTTACAGACCGGGTTATTGGATTCAACTACAACTACGAGCAGAACCCAAACACCAAGGTCGAAGGGGACGAAGGGGGGAAGCAACAACTCATCAACATCCAAGGAAGAAAAAAACACTCATACGGCCACTTCATCAACAACAACCAGTACCCCGTGCCCGAGAAACCCCGGCGAGAGCCAGCCATGCGCGTACCAGAGGGGCTCATGAACCAACTCCATAAGCTGATGGACGAGCGGTCTATCTGGACCCGCCGTGCAATCCTCAACCGCATCACAGGCGACTTCTCAGACTCAGTCCTCCGGATCGCCCTCCAGCTCATCGGGTACCAATTCCGCGGCGGGCCCTGGCGCGATGCCTTCATCAAGTACGGCGTGGACCCGCGCCCCGACCCCAGCTTCCGAATCTACCAGACGCTAGCGTTTAAGCTTGAGCGCAACATCGTCGGCACTAAGAAGATCCCCTGGGAAGTCGTGCGCAAGGGCCAGACCAAGAGGCGCTCGCGCGAGAACAGCAACAGTCACCTCTGGAACGGCGAGGATTACTCTACAGACGGCAAGTTCTGGCAGGTGTGCGATATCACAGACCCGTTCGTGCGTGGGATCATCGATCGCGCACCCCTGAGGGATACCTGCGATTTGAAGGATTCGGGGTGGTATCATAAGGGCACGTGGAGTAAAGTCAAAATGGTCATGAAGGTCAAGATGGTGGCTATCAAGAGGGGCCGCATGGGATCCGACGGCGACAGGCCGCAGAAACCCGGGTTCTTGTATAATTCGTTCCTAGAAGATCGGATCCGCCCGTTCCCGGATATCACAGATAAGCCGCTGGGCCTGACGCTGGAACCCTTCTTGCGGCCCATGGAGGAGGTCGATACGAGGTTGTATAAGCGTCGTCCTCCTACGCAGAAGCAGAAACCTGGGTCTGCTGCAGCGGATGGTGTGTCTACGCCTGGCGGGGATGATTTGGAGCCAGACGATATGGTTGGTGAAAACGGTACTGCGACTCCGATGGAGAATTCGTGGGATGTGGAAGATTTGGAAGGGGATGATGATGATGATGATGATGATGGTGATGATGCGGAGGAGGAGGAATATGGGTATTATGATAATGGCGATGGTGAAGAAGAAGACGGAGGCGAGGATTATGGAGAGGTAGATGTCGAATAGAATAGACAGCTGGTAAGAACATTATATATAGGCTGTAATAGCGAAGAGGGTACGAAGATAGCTTGCTTGGACCAATGTGATGTCGCAACAGCTAATAATACTACTGAGAGATAGCTAACCTATGTAATTGCTTAGGTAGGTAACCTTCTATGTGACTACACTCTGACTTCTACCATTCTGGCATGATTATTTATCCGGCGAGACTACTTGCGTCTACGGCATGATTTATAGTAGAGCCGTTATCGAGGGCTGCTTGATATATCACATCATTAGAATCTAGGTTAATATACTGTATATGTATGTTCGTACGTAAATCCTCGAAACTTACATATATAGGTAGGTAGGTAGGTAGGTAAGCAATATTCATGATACCGGATGTTATATTGCCATATCACAACCAGCAAAGCAAAGCTACCGAATTGAAGACTCAACCTTCTAGCATCTAAACACTCATTATTCGCCTATTTACACTAGCTATCAGTTCCAAGGAACCCGTCACATCGTTGCATATGTAGTCATCGTATCTTCGCGAGCGCGAAAGCTATTTATTCATCTCGAAACGGACAGTACAAGTACAATCAATCATCAAGACGCCTTTTATTATACCTGCTTCTACCGCATCATATCGCATCACTAAGATGGTTCCGTCCACTTGACCTGATCCATGACCTGTCCCGCCGACGGGTGGGAGTAGCCGATTCGTAACATCAAGCGAAGAGGCTAGATCGATCATACAATGTTAGCTTAGTGCGTCGGAATAACCGGAAGACATGAATTATATGATCTGGAATATAAACTCACCCCCTTACTTCCCGTGATCCGCATGATTTGTGTAGCTTCGGTTCCGGGCGCGATGTCAGAGTTGGAAATGCTCATCAACTGCAGCTTTTGCGACTTCGGTACTGCTGCTTGTAAGCCGACGTTGGAGAGCGGGCCACCGGAAGTATTCCGGAAACGGCCCAGGACTTGTATGGCTCCCTCGGCGTTACGTTGCAGTTGAAGAGTGATGTTAAGACCATTGGCGTTATAGCATGGGATACCGGTCGGTGGCGGAGCAGCAGCAGCTTGTTGGGGCGGAGGAGTACCGAGCGATGCCAGGTCGCCCAGGCCCGAGCTAGCAGGCGCAGGGCTGGAGGCCGAGCCTTGGGAGAAGAGATCCATGATCGATGCCGTGTTACTTTGAGGTGGCGGAGAGGTAGCCTGGGGTGAAGTTGTGCTGCCGCCAAGAATATCGGCAAGTAAGTCGGTGTTGCTTGGGCCTCCGTTTGTAGGTGAGGCCAAGGGTGTGGTGGTGCTGTCTCCCATCAGGTCGAGCAAGTCCTGATCCGTCGTAGGCTTGGCGATAAGTTTCGACCTGCGATTAGCTCCCTTCTTGGGCTTCTTGGTGGCTTCGCCTAGTACTCTTGACTCCTCCTTGATCTGCGGCGGCGGCATCTTCTCCAAGACACCACGACGTATGTCGTCATACAAAAATAGGTTGCCATACTCGACAGTTCTTTGCTGTACCTCGACATCTAAGCTGGTCTGGTGAGTTTCTAGTAGTCGTTTAATGCGTTCTATCTGGTTCTGATCCGAAAAACGCGTACTCAGTTTGACTAGGGCCGTAACGATGTATTCGGTAGACACTTGGGTACCGTAGCTGCTGTTAAGAATGGTGGTGAAAAGGTCGATAATTTCGTGTTCTTTAACCACTTGAACTAACTCCTCCTCTTCGTATTGACCACCCCTGAGTAGGGAATCACCATATTCACCAATACACCATGCGCCTGCTTGGGTTAAGCTTTCCTGGGTGATATCTTTCTTTAGATTTGCGTATAGCTTTTGAACGGCATACGTCTGAAGTTCTGGAGTTGTTGCCACGAGTCGAACAAACGAGGCCATAATGGGTTCCTTGACATAGTTCCCCGCGAGAGTCAGGACCCGCAACATAGTGTCGACATGCCACCGCTTGTTAGGGGCGTACCGGTCGGCTGCGATGCCAATTTGACTTGTCATGCTAGGCTTGAACTCATTGTCGGCAACTTCGAGGAAGGCAAGCAACTCCCGAATGAGCACTCGTACATTACTCTCATTGATCAGAGTGAAGCTCAGGTCTAGAGCGCGTCTCCTAATGCTGATATCGGGATCCCGTAGACATTCTAAGATCGTATTACGATGCCGTTGAACAGCGTTTGGCTCGATAGCGACGACTTTAATTAATGTGTTGAGAGCAACGTATCTAATATTGTTGTCACGGTTGGAAAGGAACTTGCCGAGAATGTTCACGCCAAGAACTCGGAGGCCCGAGTCCGCCTCAATGTCGAGAATTGTTCGAACAGCTTCGTACAGGATCGAGTTACCAACGTTCTTAGACGAATCGGTGTTTGTGGCGACTTGGGCGAGGATGTCGTTGATCTGTTCTGTACCCTCGGCATCACCGCGAACGAGAACTCGGAGTAATCGGAGGATCTTGACTTGTAGGAAGGGGTCTGTAATACCAGTGACATCATGCTCAGGGGCATAGCCAGAGGTAGCAAGACCCTTCAAGGTCCTGACTAGAACTGGGACGAACTGCTTGAACTTATCAATGATTCCTTCGTCGCCACCTTCTTCCTCTTCTGCTTCGCACATGCTCGTAACTAATGTTAGCCCGCAAAGAAGTACGCCGTGGTTCCTATCCGATAACAGCTGCGCCGCCTTCTCAACGAAATGCTCTTGTAAGTCAGGAACCTTTCGACATATCCGCATAGCGCACAGAGCTGCCTTCCTTCTAATATAAGGGTTGGCAGTCGAAACTAGGGTCTCAATTTCGGGGAACAGGTCTCGGGACATCTCGATCGAAGCTATATTTCCCAGGGTACAGAGGGCAAGGCCGACGACATATTGGTTGGAGTGGCCTAGATCACTGGATAGAGAATTCAAGGTTAGCTTGGAGTTGAAGCTTGGAGTTGAAATCAGGGCCATTAAGGGGGGCGATATACTTCTTCAAGGAGTTTGTAACTAATGTGAGCACCTCCTGGTTTTCATCTAGTAATAAACTCGTAGCTAGATGTCCGAGCCGCTTATCGGCAAACCGCGGGGATGCGAGCAGTTTGATGCATTCTATTTGGCCGAAATGGGTTCTCTCACCCAGAGTGAACAGGTATAGAAGTTTGGCCACATTGTTCCGCCTACCGATTGCCGTATGTTAGCAGATGCATCGAGGGTTTCGAGATTAGCGTCGCCTTGTGCGCACCTCACGTTGTGGTCGTGGCTCTCTTCGCGGAAGCTAGCCCTGATGGCGGCGCTCTCCTTTTGGATCACAGCTCGTTCGTCGGCGATGGTCTTAGCTGCACGCACATTGCGAATAAACTGCTTCACTGCAGGGGAAAAAAGAGAGGTTAGTTACTAGCTATTACCATTCGAGATCACCCCATTCCGTATGACGACTTACAGGAACTCATGGTGAAGCTTCACGGGCCCTGGAAGGGCCTATTGAAGTAGAATAGCCAGCTTTGGAAAAAGGCGAACCTGTGGGTTACGAATAATCGACGTCGCAGATAAATTTCGTAGAGATTCGCTGTGTGCTATTAGGAGATGTCTTAGTTGTTCAGTCCCGTATTATGGCGATATTCCCATGCCTACCCAGGTAGTGTAAGACCGACACAAGCTTCGGATTCTCAAAGACCAAGACCAAAGACTATTGTGGCAGCCGTGTGCTGTCAGGAGAAAGGTACCTAGGTACCTAGCCTCTTAGAACCTTATCGAGGTGGATCCATTGAAGTGGGATATCCGGAGCTGTTTTATCCGATATATTGTACTTTAGGTTGTTATGACATATGTACATAGGTACCTAGGTATCTAAGTACAGTGCCCAAAGAAACATTACCTAAACATCCATCTAGCCACATCAAGTACAACGTGGAAACGCTAAACGTTTCAAGATGGAATTACATAATAGGGAAAAGCTCGCTAGCAAATACATGTAGTTTTCCAGCTCGGCCACTTTTCGACGTTAACCATCATCCGCCGGTGTAAGCATCTCCCGTCCTGCCGTCTCGGCATCCTATTACATCCGTAACCTAGAAGCTTCACGATTTAATCTGCCCAGGTACCCATTTAGGCGTATACGTATACGTATCTTGCGTGTATTAGTATGTATTAGTATGCATATAACAATAATGTCTGGACCTTCAGTCGGGAACCGGGCTAATTGTCGACTTATCGTATTAGTCATGTACGGTCCGCATTAGTATGTAGGTAGTATAGACGGGATAACCATCATTTGATACCTGACTAGCTGAGAGGCCGGATCTGCGTATAAATAAGGGGGTGGGAAGGTAGTAGGTCCTACCGTCACCAGTATGCAACGCTATATAAAACAAGGTCCTCATCATCTTTTGTTGCAAGTTCTTCGGAATAAAAATTCAATCATCGACGACATAAAGCCACCATCTATATATCTGATCTATATATCTAATCTATATATATCTAATCTATAAATTCATACGCCAACATTCATCACGATGGCGTCCTATGCACTCCAAGTACCAAGCGAATATGGGTAAGTGCTTATACCTTTATTTATATCCACGTTGTATCTACATACCACCAACAACCCGTATCACGCCATTTCCCAGTCCCTTAATTGGCACGTCCGCGTCCGCGTCCGGCTCCGCCAGATACCTACCTATCTAAATCCTTCCCGCGCCGCTACTAACCGCACCGTTGTTCTATTTAGCTACGTCCTAACCGTCGCCGCCTCATCGTTCTTTATCAACACCCTCCACTTCGTGCTGTCGGGCAAGGCGCGCAGGGAGAGCGGCCTGGCCTACCCGATCCCCTACGCGACCCAGGAGCAAGCCGCCAAGGACCCCAAGGCCTACAAGTTCAACTGCGCCCAGCGCGCCCACAGCAATTTCACCGAGAACATAACCCCCTTCCTCGGCGCCCTGCTCATCTCCGGTCTCTGGTTCCCAACTGCGAGCGCCGCCCTTGGCGCCGGCTGGGTCGCTGGACGCACGTGGTATGCTTTAGGTTACACCTCGTACGGTCCCCCGGGCAGAACCAAGGGTTTCGCCATCAGCATCCTATGTGACACCGTGTTGAAGGTTATGGCTGTCATTGCTGGTGTTAAGTTGCTTCCTCAGGCTTAGAGATCGGGTACCTTAGTACAGAAAGATAAAAGGGGAAAAGAAGGAAGATATTTACGGTTAGTTAAGGGACTTAAATAGAGCAGATCTTTTAAAAATAGAAAGTTGCATTATTTCTCCTTGGAGAACAAATATTAAGCCTTGACATCTTATCCACGCTATGTAAATAACCAAGTAATAGGCCAAGACGTCTATGCTCAGTCCATTGTGCCACTAAGCCGCTTTTCAGAAACATAATGTTGAACACGAACAATATATATCAAATTCTTGCCAATAATATGTCCAAGGCGCGTAATATATAGGTCATAGACCCGTGTTCTATGCATTGCCTAGCTAATTGATTGAATATTGTTATTGGACTAAGGGTCAAGCCAAGGTAGCTGATTTTCTTACCATGGATGGCTCGGGGCAGAACCAAAATAGCAAAGCGAAAGAAATGAGGCATCCAGAGCTGAGAGTATCCAACTGTAACATCGGTTCTGGGGTTAAATACCTAAACAAGATTTGATATTATGATAGATTATGTGATTTATGTACAATCGACGCACCGCCTTCGGCGCCGTTTTCGAAGTTCTGTTATCTCTTCCTCGTCCTCATCAAAGGGCTCAGACGGATTCTGGTCGGGGCTGGTAGATTGGGTCCACGACTCGTGACCGTTATTACCAAGCAAATAATCTCCAAGAAATTTCATAGCCTGGTGTAGTTCTTCGCCAGTCGGAATAATATATTCGCTAGGGAGTAGGAAGCCATAGCTTCCTGTGTCTCGTAGCTTGATCTGATAACTGTAACGAGCTCCGAATTCATGAAAAATGTAATCAATAGCAGAGCCACCGCCGGCTTCTACCCGGGCTCTTTGGGCATCATGTGTGAATTCTATTGGGTTTTCGTTTGCGACGGCCCCTTCGCAGGCCGACGTGGTGGTGTAGACTTCTCCGTTAGAGAGCCTCATGTGTTTAGCTAAGTTCATAGCTACCTCCCTTAAATTTTCGATATTAGGCGGACGGACAATGCAAGAATATGCATACGGATATAAAACCTGCTGAGAATAAGAGTGAAGATCTAGGTAAGCCGCGAAATTAACGCCGCTGTCCGTCTGGTTCCTGACCCAATCCGCCAATTCACCGGCTTCGACGGCCTCGAAGGGTTGGTCGCCGCCGTAACTCTCAGAGCACGGTTCACTCTGGTGCCGGGTACTATCCCATCGGTAGCCGAATGCGTGATCTAAATCGAATCCGGGACAATACTGCATCTTGGTGCGTTGTCTCGACTTCCGCCATAGCCGGTCGACATCCCACGTGTACTCGTATCCATCGGGATTTAATACGGGGATGAAGACGATGTCAAAGTGTTCTAGAATTTTAGCTATCATCGGATCCTCGTCAACAGACTTGATGAAGGACCAAGCGACGTAATTTACTGTGCTTATGGATATCCACTCCCTCGCGTGAATACCACCTGTAATAAGAATAGTATCCTTGCGAGTATCTGAGCCACCCGAGGACGTGCCGCTACGGGGTGTGCCGACCCTTAACCCTAGTATATCCCGGCCCTCGTACGATCGTCCAATGTTGACCATCCGAACGAGACCACGGCCGCGGAACATCGAGTCAAGCAACCTCATCCATGAATATATGACAGAGAGCGGCTGGTAATCATGAAAGAAAACGTCATCTACACCTTGCTTCTTAGGCAGAGGGATGTCGTTTGCCGGGGTGATACCTCGATCTTTCGAGAGGGACTGAGTAACGGAGTTTGCGGCGGCATTAGACGGGTAGGTAGCCGCGACAGCACGGGCTAGGTTGGGAATCAAAACGACATGGTTATCTTGTAAAGAGGACGGCAGTATACCCATCAACGGCCGAATACGGCGTGCTTCAATGCGTATATCAGTGTAGTTATCAGTGAAGTCCCAGACATCGAGTAACATTTGATCAACAGCCTTTCTTAAAGCTGCCTCATTTGCACCTGTCGAGACATTGAATCGTATTACAACCTCGTTTTCATACCTCTGTAGATTTTCTACAAGCTTCGGATGAGTTACAAACCACTGGTTCAAATTCTTGCTAGACTTTTTCGAGGTCCACCCGAAGGGAATGTCGAGCAGGCGACTGAAATACGATCGCCCATCGTGGAACCGAGACGGAGCGACCCGAGGTAGGCTTGTAGCAACGGAAGGGAGGGGTATGGTGAAGAAGAGCAAGAAGTAGACGAATAGAGAAGATGGGCGAAGAGGAGATTCGGCGCTCATTATGATAAATGGCTTACAGCAGACGGCGTAGCGTCGCAGAGCATAGAGAAGCAATACACTAACCTAGGTACTTATGTATGTAGGTATGAGGTATGAGGTATGAGGTATGAGGTATGTGTGTAGTTGGTATGTGTGTAGTTATGTAGCATTGGACCTTTCGGCAGCAGCCTAGAAATCGGGCTGAGCGGGAAAGGGTTGGATTATTACTACCTTCTTAGATTTAGACTCTGTTTAAGGCAACGGCTAAGATTCTAGTCTTGACGACGTAAACCGTTCAACATGTAAAAGAGTGGGGGATGGGGCGGAGTGGATAACGCAACCAGCCAAGGCAGGTAAACTGTACCTACATACGTACATACTACCTACCTGCCAATGTACCTTACTTTTTTATGCGGGTTGCCTCGAGTTACATCTTACCTACCTACCTATGTAACCACCTTGTGTTCTACACTACATAGGTACATATCTTATGAAACAAGAAACAATATCCTACATATACCTTTACCAGATACCTTTCCTTTTCTGATATGGAATTCTCCGTCGTACATAACATGTCAATGTCTTGCGGAACGAAAATAAAAAGGCCTGTATGCGATATAATAATCATATATGATAACTGCCTAGTTAAATACTATCTGAATGAGGAGACCGGTATGTATGTTGATCTCTCTATCCAATTTGTCGGGTCTTTTCTTATGGAACGTCTATCATAGTTACATAGATTGTATCCATACGAAGTAGGGGGTACTTTGCGGAATATTGGGCAGGCGAGGCATAGCGTGCATAACTACACGTGTAGCTAACCCGACCTCGCCTTTTTAGGTAGGAACATGGGGCTCTCGGCGGGGAGGGAAGGGGGGGGGCAGACAGGGCAGATAGGGAGGAACCTTGGAAGGTTCAAGGGGTCCTTAACAACTTTTAATTGTTTCCACGACCTACAGAAATAGCAACTTGGCAGCGGACTTTACATATTACATACTTACACCAACACACGTACCCGGAGTAGGTAGTCCAAGCCCAAACCCCGTACCTCTCCCGTACCTCTGATCTCGATGAGATCCTAAAACCAACCCATTCATACAATTCATACAATTCATACATAGACATGAATGAATGGCTAACTAACCGTATCAATCCGTACCAATCCAACCCAATCCGATTCAACAACTATAGACATACGACAAAGTTACTCGCTGTCCATCCGTAGTACTTCTTTTCGTGGATCCGCTGACAGGCGAAGTCAGTTGAAGAGATCCCCAAATCTGACAGCTCCCACCCCGGCGACAATAACCCCCCAAGATTCCTCTATCTCCGTGAAGGAACTCGGCACTATTCATCTACCTAGCCTATTTATCGTCTATACCTATACACCTTCGTAACGTGCTTCACAACGATGGGTCTTCGCCGTAGCAGCTCTTTGACGTGATGATCATCGGCTATTCCAGCCACCCATCGCCGTTACTACTGTTGCTGCTGTTGCTGTATACCCGTGTACATACCTAATACACTGTTTTAGGCTGGACGGCACACTTAGTCTTGTTCCTGCCCAGACGTCGGCTGCCGTCTATCACAATGCCCTTCTTACGCCGCCGAGGCGTCATGGCTAGTGACACCGATATGAGACGACATACTATTCTAATCGATTCGGCGTCCGCTGCCCCTAAACAGTCTTCGCGCAAATCCCAGCCAGAGGTGTTATTGGGCCCCGACGCTACCGCAGGGAATGAAGAAGGGTTAGGAGATGGTACCTCTGGAAATGGCGAGGACAGCAAATCTTCCGTCGACACGGTCGCGATGTCGGCTACCGCGTCCATGTTCCCCGGCAGAGAAAGCGAAGATCCCTTCAGTCGTCCCGAGTCTCCTCCAATTCAAGATGAGTCGCCGAAACATCGTAGGTTCAGCATGTTGAGATTTCGCAATGCCTCCGATTCCCAACTGTCGGCCCGATTAAAACAGCAACAGCAAGCCGAGAAGCTGCCACCCATGCCGCAGCGTAGGTGGCATCATTTTATTTCTCGAACCTTTTGAACCTTATCCCCGATGCCATACTTTATTCTTAATGTTAGATTTATTTGCTAACCTGGCTATCCTTTCCAGCTCCCTCCATCATCATGACTGCGCCGACCATGACTATGGACATGGACATGGACATGCAACCAAAGAAACCACGCATGAAAATCCCTTTACGAATGCGCCGTTCTAGCGATTCTCCCAGGGGCGACCAAGAATCTACGTCGAGATTTATCCCACCTCTGGCTGCTAAAAAAGATAAAAGGAAAACTATAAACGAACGAACGATGTCCTCGTCGAGCAAACAGACGGTAACTTTCGAAGAGAGTTCGAGGTCCGGAACATTAACTAGGTCGCAGACCAACACTACCGACGATCAAAATGCCTTGAATCCCCCTATAAATCGGTTATCCGAGTCTTCTAGATCAGAAAGCAGCTTTAACGAGCATACTGCATCTCCGCAACAGACCGGGTTAAACCCCACGTCTTTCTTCCGTCTTCGCCGCAAGCCCAAACAACCGGAGCCGCTCTTCCCTATAACACACCTCCCTCAGAAATCTAAGACTCCCGCAATATCTGGTACAGCCTCCTCTATGTCGCGTTCCTCGACCTCATCTCGCCCTTCCTTTGCTCTAGACCCATTCCGCTCGTCTATAGGACAGGATGTATCAATGCCCTTAGCTTCTCCCTCCCAATCTGTAAAACAAACGGGGTCTCCTGCTACAGCTCTGTTCAGGCCTTCTTCTCGACACTCTGGACAGTCCTCCCCGACGAGAATGCACGTAAGTCTCCGGGGGCGGTCTTCCACAATGAGTTCCCTCGGCGAGAATTTCATCGACGACCGTCAACGTCCAGGAACCACACGAACTTCGTCTT